CCCTCTGCTCTTCCCATATCCTCCCTGCCCTCCCTACCCCACCTTCAAGCTCAGGTGGCCAGAGACACCTTGCCTATTTGGGTCCCCTTCACCCTGCAACGCCTCCACTGCACATGCCATGCGGAGTTTCCTGGTAGGCAAAACCACCCCCCACCAACTCCAGGACTGACTCCTAGCTGGAGGTCAGGGAGTGGGGAATGAGTCATCAGAGGACTAGGGGGGCTGCGGGCTCCCAGATTGTGGCTGGCGTCATGTGCGCTAGATCACAAGCTCCGCTCGCTCTCAGGCTGCCTCGCAAACCCCACACCTCCTCCCCGCGTGCAGCTCAGCTGGGGCTAGAAGATAGCCTCGGGCCATTCCGGCAGTTTGGTCTGGAAGGATTCCTGGTACCTGTGGGGCCTGGGCCCTCAGAGGACCAGGAACCACCGGGCCTGCCCTCAGGGGACGGGTCGGGGGCAGCTAGCCAGGCCCTCTTCCACGGGCACCAGCCCCCACCCCCAGGACAGCACTGTGCCAGCCCTTCCACTCACCATTTCCACCCAGCCTCATCGGACCTTCACTTCCTCATCCACACACTTCTGCTCCCTGTGGAGACCCTGCCCCCGCCCAGCTCTGGCTCATCTCTCAGACATCCTGGGTGGCCAGGAGGGAGGGGAGCACGGCCTCTACTTTGCAGATGAGGAAACAAACAAGGTCCAGCAAGAACAAGGGCCTTGCGGAGGCCACACAGCCTGTGGTAGCCAGGCAGGCCTAGAAACCAGGCCTCTACTCCCAGGCTGCAAGGTGCCTCAGCCCTTTCCATATGACCGCACACAGGCACCCATTCAGGCATGATTGCTGCATGTCCTTTGAGGGGGGCTGGGGCAATGGTGGAAAATAGGACGACTCAGCATTTACCCTCCCATTCCAGTGGGGGAAAGACCACTGACAAGAAAACAAACATGCAACGTAACATCAGCCGGCCATTAGTACAATGAGGAAAAGAAAGCAGGCCCCATCGCGGGGTGGGGTGGGGGGGCCAGGGAGGACCAGCATGTGAGATGGAAGTCAGGGAAAGCCCCTCTGAGGCACTGATGGACCCCACCAGCTCCATCCCCCAGCCCTGGACCCCTGTGGGGACCTGACAGAGGCTTTTACTCTCAGGCAGACACCACTCCAACGCTAGCCCCTGCCCTCCTCCACCGCAGCAGAGAGGTCCCTCTGTCAGGGAGGGCCAAGTGCTCCTCAGGGCAAGGCTCCGCCAAGCGGGAATCCTGTGCTGGCCTCCCCCCTTTCTTCAATGCTGCCTTCTCCCAGCCCTGGTACTCTCCTCATCCCCTGGCCCAGGCACTTCTCCATCTCTACTCTGGATGGACAGCTTCAGAATCACCTCTGTCAATTGAGATTCACCAACTCCTCTGTCACCCCTTGGCCTTTGGGGTCATGTCACTACAGCAGGTGCCAGAGTAACTCTTCCATCACCCTTCCCACTCAGATGACCCCCCCCCCACCATGTTTTCCTTGAGGCATACAGCCAACTCCAATCAATCTTCCACCCTATACCAAGACCAACCAACCCCTCCCTGCCCAACCCAACACCGTTCGGCCTCTCAGCTAGGTAGCTCTTGGACCAACTTTCTGTACCACAGTTCCTCTTCTACAGCCTGGCAAATCCTCCACCTCCCTCAGCCCCAAGGCTGGTCAACAACTCTGTTGTCCTCCCCAGGCACAAAGGCTACCCAACTGCTCCTTGGCATTGGGAGGCCTCCAATTTGTCTGTAAATCCATTGTCCAAACTCACCAACTTCACCAATGACCCCTACACAACCCAGGTCTAAGATCACACAACTCCCTCACTGCCTGGCCCACTCAACACCTCTCCTCAGCCAGTACAGACCAACTCTTCCAGCCCATAAATTTACCGACTTCTCCATGCCATCACCTCTCCAGCTCCGACCAACGCCTCCGGAGTATGAGTCCTGACCTGTCCTTGCTGCCCCTTTCCAAACCTTCAATAACAAGAGACTCCCCCAGCCTGTAAGCTATCACTATCCCCACCCTTAACCAGGGCAGACCAATTAGCAACTCTCAACTCCCAGGCAGATTCCAACCAACCCTCTCTCTTTAAAGACGTTTCTTCCTTCCACTCAAACTCTTTCACTGCCTCCGCAAGGCAGCCCAAATACTTCAGCCCCTGGAGGGAAAATCTGCTTGAATAGTTAAAAAAAAAAGTCGCCCTCGAGTCAATTCCAACTCATGGCTACTCCATGTGTGTCACAGTAGAACTGTGCTCCACACGGTTTTCAATGGCTGATTTTTTTAGAAATAGATCACAGGACTTTCTTCCAAGGCACCTCTGGGTGGATTCAAATCTCCAGCCCTTCGGTTAGCAGTCAAGCACATTAACCGTTTGCACCACCCAGCGACTCCACCTGAATAATAGCAGCTGCTACTTACTGAGGTCTTACTGTGTGGCAGGAACTTACAAAGGCTATCTTGTTTAATTCCTACAACTACCCTCCAGTAGAAATGAACACCTTCATTTGCAGAGAAAGAAACCTAGAAGCTCAGAGAGGAAAAAGAACTTCCTCAAAGCCAAACAGTTGGTTACAAACAGCTGTTCCTCTCCCAGGAACCAGCAGACCAGAAATTTCCCTTCCCAACCTGTGCCAAACTCTCTCCAACTGCCCCCACCACTGACCCTCCAGCCCACAAACTGACCATCTTCTCTTCCCCTCTCCCAGGGAGCTACATACAATCTTCAAATAACAAACTTCTCTGCTGCCAAGTCCTGGTCAGACTCCTCTCTCTTCCTCAGGCCAGCTAAGGCAGTTTTTCCGGCTCCTTAAACTGATTGTCTTTTGATTTACCCGTGGGTCAAACCTCTGTATCCTCCCCCTGCCCACAAACTGATCACCATTTGTCCCTCTCCTGGAAACTTCTGAAGCAGCAACATCCAGGCCCCAACCCCAGAACCAACTCCTCTATACTGGCCCCTAAAATGACCAACATCGCCTTAATAATAATAATAATAATAATAACTGCACTTTCGTGACAGCTCACTCTGACCAATCACTTATCATACACAATCTCTTTTAGTTCTTTCATCAACCCTGTGGCATGGGTATTATCACTCGCTTTATAGATGAGAAAACTGAGGCTCAGGGGGAGTGAAGTAACCAGCCCAAGGTCACAAAGCAGGTATGTGGCAGAGTCAGGATTTGACCTAGAGCCTCTGCTCTTAACCACCACCCTACTTTGCCTCCCCAGGTCTCTCCCGCTTCCTGCTCCAAACTCCCTAGACTGGATACCACGCTATAGCCAGAGCCCATTCTGACTCTTCCCTTCCTTGATCTCAGTCCTCCAAGCCTCCAACCTAAAACTGACCATCTATCCCTGGGGACTACAGCCGAGGAACCTGGCTGGCTTCCAGCGCCAAGAGTCTTAAATTACCCACCTTCTCTTTAACAATAACCAGCCAAGCTGGCATTTTTGGCAGCTCCCTGTATGTTCGGTTTCCAGTTACCATGTTTCCCACCCTCGCCCCCACCCCCAGATCAAAGCCACCAACTCCTCCACTGCCCACAGACTGGCAACTGTTCCTACTCCTTTCCAGGGGTGGGGGCGGGGCGGGAGCAGAGCCAGCAGACCAACTTCAAGAAGGCCATGACTGGTCTAATTCCTCTCTTCCCAGAAAGACCAAGAGGCCTCCCTAGCACAGAAAAAGACTCAACACTGCGGTCCATCTCCCAAGTGCCCAGAGACCTGCAACTTTCCACCTCCCCAGCCCCATGGGTCCACCACACTCCTCCAGCTGTCCTTTCAGTGCCAACACTAACCTGACCTTCTAACCCCTAACTAACCATCTTCTCCAGGGGGCCTATAATCCATTGACTCCCCCATCTCCCAACATCTCAAATCACCAAGCTTCTTCAATGCTCTCACTTTCTACCAAGCAGCAAGTCCAACTCCTGACCTGTTGTTGCTGGCTGCCATCGAGTCGATTCCAACTCATGGCGATTCTATGTGTGCAGGGTAGCACTGCTCCATAGTTTTCAAGGCTGTGACCTTTCAAAAGCAGATCACCAGGTCTGTCTTCTGAGGTGCTTCTGGGTGGGTTCAGACCTCCAATCTTTAGGCTAGTAGTGGAGCACTTAACCCTTTGTGCCACTCAGAAACTCCCCTCCTGAACTGATAACATTCTCCAACTCTTTCCAGGAAGGAAAAAAAAAAAAAAGACAACTTTTCTATAGCCAGACCCCTGAATAACTGAGGAATTTCTGCTCCCCCCCCCACCTTTTTTTTTTGTGGGAAAGAGGAGGCATGCAGTGACTTTTCTTCTTCTGAATACCAAGATCTAAAACCTCCTCTATCTCACCCCACAACCATACTGACCACCGACTCTGCTCCTTTTCTGGGAGTTAACCCTGACTCTATTTTCCCAGCCCCAGAATTTACCAACTCCGCTACAGCCACTGCGGGAGAAAGATGTGGCAGTCTGCTTCCATAAAGATTTACAGCCTTAGAAACCCTATGGGGCAGTTCTACTCTATCCTATAGGTTGCTAGGAGTCAGAAGCCACTCGACAGCAACGGGTTTGGTTTTTTTTTTCTACAGCTACAGTCCAGGTTTATCCCTTTTTCTCCCTTCAGTCGAGAAAGTGACCAACATTTCCACCGAAGGCTTGAAGACCAGCAACCTACCCCGCGTTCCATCCCCCATGGGCCCATCAAACTATTTCGACTGCCATTTCAGAGCCAATATTGACCTACTCTTCCTCCATGACCGCTCTCTCTGTCCTTCTCTGGAGGAACTATATACTTAAAGGACATAAACCAGCTACTTTTCATCTTCCCAATCCTATAACCACCCTCTCCTCTAACCGCCCCCCCCCCAGCTCCAAACTGTCTCCTTAAATCATCATCAGGTGCAACTTCATGAGCGCCACCTCCGTGCTGAGCGCCCCACTGACCCCTCGCGACTCCCAGGTCCCCCCACGAGCCCGCACCCGCCGTAGCTACCGTGTCTCCAGGGATCTTTGGGCTCCACCGCTCCGGACACGATATCCTCGTCGGACGGGAACGTGACGCGCTTGGCTGCAGCCTTGAGGCGACAGTCGGTTGGGGACGACGCGGGACTGGGGGGCCGGGCCTCGGCGGGGGCCTCCTCGGCGTTGCCGTCCGCACTCGGCCCGGGCGGCGCCTCCTGCGGCGAGATCTCCATCTCCGCCGCCGCCGCCTCCTCACGGGGGCCCCGGGGACATGCCCCGGGCCCCGGACTTGTCTCTCCGGGCCCGCCTGCCGTCCCGGGGCATGGGCTCCGCCGCTGCTTCACGCGCCGCCTCCGTCTGCTCTCCTCGTCGTCGTTGTCGTCGCCGCCGCCGGAACCCTAGCGCGCCGCCGTCAAGCCCCGCGCGCGCCTGCTCGTCCGCAGCCGCACTTTCGCTAAAGGCCGGTGAGCTTGCCGTCTACTAAGAAAGGCAGCAAACCAATTTAAGCTACTTGCAGGAAGAGTTGTCTCACAGGTGACACGGAGAAGAAAATAAAGAGCAGACAGAGCCACGGAGAAAAGAAACGTGAGCAGTGAATCTGCAAAGCAGGAACTGCAGGATATGAAGGGCGGGGCGAGATGGACGCCGTCTCCCGGAGCAGCGCGCAAGCGCGAACCCAAGCCCCCCCCCCCCCCCCGCGCAAAACACACAGACTCTACCCCCGCTGGTTTCTGTTCTGACTCGCACGCATCCGTCACGAACCCAGGTGGCGGAGAAGGGAATAGAGGTGATACAAATGAAAACATCTAGTTGGCGAGGTTAGGCTAACTGATGAGAGAGGCAAAAGGATGGAGAACTTGAAAGGCAATAGGAGCTGTGTTAAATATAAGTAGAGATGATGGATGCTGACGAATGGGGACCCTCTGCCTGGAGAAACCTAAACCCCCTTGCTAGTCTCTAGCCTTCCACCTGCAGGCTGCAGTTTCATCAGGATTTCTCTGTACTTGGATAAAAACCAAAAAACCCAAACCCATTGGTGTTGAGTCGATTCCAACTCATAGCGACCAGGGCAGGGGCGGCTGGTGGATTTGAACTCCCGGACTTTCGGTTAGCAACCGTAGCTGTTAAACACAGCGCCACTAGGACTCGCATTGCTTAAAATATAATTTAATACTATATGCTAAATCAAATATGAGCCCATGAGGGCTATCATATCCCTGATTTTTTTTTTTTTTTTTAATAACTGTGAGAGAAGGAAGCAATTCCAAAGGCAAGAGACGAATCTGCCAACCAAAACATCGGGTGCCCCTAGGGACCAGGCACTAGCTTAAGCCATACTTTACAATAGTTTAACGCAATCGCTTAACACTGATCTCCGCACTTTCGCCAGAGGCCAGTCCAACAGCCTGCAGAAGGCTGGGCTAAAACCAAAAAAGGAGACTTGGGAAGGGGCGAGCGACAGCGTTGCCAAGGCAACTCGAAAGCTAAGCCCAGGACTTCCAGAGGTGGCGTTGTGAATGGACGCATGGAAACTGAGGCTATCAGCTTCCTCCATTCAACATCATCGGCTGCCGCACTTTCACCACCAAAACAAACAAAACAAACCTCATCTATATTTTAATGGAATTCTTTGCTTACATTCTAAACTTGAAGGGACTACAAAAAGAGTCAGAACCCTTTTTTTTTTTTTTTTTAACTTATCTGCTAACAGTGGGGCTCAAGTGACAAGGGGCTAAGTGAAGTGAGTAGATGAATTGACATATGGACGGCCACGCTACATAGCTAGAGCAAAAAGGAGAAAGAGCAAAGCTTTACGTCTCTGGACTCACTCTAACACTTAATCCTCAACCTTTTATCAGTGTCGCCGCCAAACAAGGGCCCGACCATCACCAGCACATGGGAGGAGCAATGGGAGGAGCGCTTCGCACGACCGCGCCCTTCGCCTTATGAGTGTACATCCCCTCCGTGACTCCCCTCCCCCACACACCCGAAATTGACATCGATTCCGAGCCTCCCAATCCTGGCATTCAGGCCCCTTCTGTCATTCTCCCAGCGGTGGTCCAATACCTACACCTTTATCCGGGTTCCTCCCACCCCCTCGGGGCCGAGCTCCACCGCACTTAGCTCTTGGAGAGACTCCATCACCCTAAAACCAAAAAACCAAACCCATTGCTGTCCAGTTGTCCAGACTCATTGCTGTCCAGACTCATAGCGACACTATAGGACAGAGTAAAATGGCCCCATAGGATTTCTAAGGTTGTAATCTTCACAGAAGCAGACAGCCACATCTTTCTCCCATGGAGCGCTGGTGGATTGGAACCCCCATCCTTTGGACTAGCAGCTAAGCGCTTAACCACTGCGCCACCAGGGCCCCTGTTCCACCACCCCCAAAACCTGTCTGGAGCCCTGTGGGGTGCGCGCACACACACACACTTAAAAAAAAACAGGAGTCTAATTTTCTTGGGACAACTGGTTCTTTGGCAGGAGGGGAGCAGTGGGGAGTATCTCCGCGACGGCTGAACTTTGCAATGCCTTCAATAAACAATTTCCCACTCTATAATTTGCCTTCTTTTCTTCCCCTGGTCTTCTGGAACTGGCATGAGGCCCATATTTCTGTGGAGTTCAGAGTTCTGTGAGGTAGAGCATTCCTTTCAACAAGATCTAGAACTCCTTCAGTTGCAGAATTTTAATGACTAAGCTCTGGAGGTCCCAAGAAGCCAGAGTTGGTTGGAGCTTGGCTCAAAATTCCAAGGGGGCTCAGAACTCTACAGGGTCCAGCGTTCCCAGCTCAGGAACATCTGGGATACTGTGGCTAAGGCAGAAAGGTGAACGCCGAAAAGTCTTCATGGCTTGAAAGTGTATGCAATAATGTCACTACATCGGAGCAGCGCCTCAGCCTGCACACCTATAGGAGTCTGCAGCTGTGACACATAGAAGTTGGCCACATCCAGGTCGGTGGCTCCAAAGTGGGCAGTCACATGCACACCCTCATGCAACGTGAAGCTCACCTGGCGACCTGCCATGGCCAATAGGCTTCGGAGGTAGCGCTCCCGAAGGATGGCTCGGGCTCGCTGTTCCTGGGATTCCAGAGACTCTTGAACTACGGGAGACTCCTGGATTTCAGGGACCTCTGGCTTCAGGAGGGCCCTGCGTCCATCGGGGGCAAAGCCACGGCTTGAGCCATCAGGGCCCCGGGGCAGCCGAAGCACAGGCACAGGAATGGTCAGTGGAGTCTGCATTGCCCTGGCTGTTGAGTGAGAAGAACAAGGAAGACATCAGACAGGGGGCGGGGGGACTAAAAGGAGTTGGGGAGAACTGGATGCAGAGGCATGTCTACCAGGCATCTCAAACGGTACCTGTCCAAACCCCAACTCCTGATCCTACTCCTAAAATCTGCACCACCTTTCCCCCAGTCCCCCTTCTCAGGAACTGGCAGTCACCCAGTGACTTGGGCCAGAAACAGAGTGTTATACACACAAGAACGTGAGCTCCATGAGGGCAGGAATTTTTGTCTGCTTTTATCACAGCTTTATCCCTGTTCTTGGCTCAGAGCAAACAGTAAGTATTTGCTGAGAGAACACCAGCCTCCTCTCTCTCTTTATCTCTCTGACCATCCAATTCATTAGGAAATCCTATCTTTCGAGTAGATTCACAATCACACAGGAGACGGCTTGAAAGGGCTTCCACTGGCCAAATCTAGAACAATCTGAGCATTCAAATAATGACCATGGGGCTTCCTGGATCTTCGAGAACATTCAGGCAGGCGAGAGGGTGGCAGGAAACTTCATACCGGGACCTCCCCTCAGACCTTTCCTGATAGTCTCTTCACGTTTGGCCTTAGGCCAGGATTTATACCAGTGGTCAGCAAACTTTTTCTGTAAAAGGTCAAATAAGTAGAACTGCTCCATCGGGTTTTCTTGGCTGTAATCTTTGCAAAAGCCGATTGCCAGGCCTTTCTCCCGTGAAGCCGCTGGGTGAGTTCAAACCACCAACCTATAGAAGCAGCTGGCCTCACAGATTGTTGCAAAGGCTAACTGAAGACTCAGTTATGGTACCTCCTGGGAAACAACACCTTGCAAGGTTGGGATGCTGTCCTACAAGATGTGGAATCACTCTGAACCAGCCAACCAAAAAAACCCGTTGCCATCAAGTCGATTCCGACTTATAGTGACCCTACAGGACAAGGTAGAATTGTCCCATTGGGTTCCCAAGGCTGTAATCTTTATGGAAGCAGACTGCCATATCTTCCTCCCTCAGAGCGGCTAGTGGGCTTAAACCACTGACCTTTCAGTGAGCAGCCCAGTGCTTAACTACTGCACCACCTGGTTCCTCAGCACAGAGATGAGGCTCAATAAATACTGTTCTTGTGAATGGAGTGGAAATTAAGCTCCCAGGCCCTTGCTTAGCTGTGCGACCTCAAGCAAGGGACTGTTTTCTCTTCCACTGTACGGAGAAATAGCAGCAATTACCACCTAAGTGTGTTATCAGGATTTAACAGGCTCATGCAGAAAAGGGCCTGACTCACACTAAACCAGTTGCCATCCAGGCAGGAGATGTCAGTGTGTGTCAGAGTAGAACTGTGCTCCATAGGGTTTTCAATGGCTGATTTTTCTGAAGTAGATCGCCAGGCCTTTCTTCCCAGGTGCCTCTGAGTGGACTCAAATGGCCAACCTTTCCGTTAGCAGCCGAGCACATAGACTGTGAGCACCACCCAGGGACTCCAACACATATTAAAAAAACAAAAACAAAAACAAAAACCTGTTGCCATCGAGTTGGTTATCTACTCACAGCAACCCTATAGGACAGAGTAGAGCTGCCCCAAAGGGTTTCCTAAGCTGTAAGCCTTTACGGAAGCAGACTGCCACATCTTACTTCCGGGAAGAGGCTGCTGGTAGGTTAAAGTGCCAATCTTTGGTTAGCAGCCAAGCGTTTAACCACTTTGCCACCAGGTTTCCTTCCAACACATATTGCTGCTGTTGTTGTTAGGTGCCATCAAGTCAGTTCTGACTCACAGTGACCCTACAGGACAGAGGAGAACTGCCCTATAGGGTTTCTAAGGAGCTACTGGTGGATTTGAACTGCCGACCTTTTGGTTAGCAGCCAAGCTCTTAACCACTGCGCCACTAGGGCTCCAAATACTAGGTCCTATATAAAAGATAGTTGTTGGTGTTATTGTTAACTAATTTTCACATGCCATGAAATTTTTTGAAAAGTTTTTTTAACCACTTAAAAACGTAAAACCACTCTTAGCTTGTGGGTCACGCAAGAACGGGCGGCAGGTGGTAGTCTACCACCCAGGCATAGAGAATGGAAGTGTGGACTCCAAGAGATGGCTGGGTCACAGTCCTCCCGGTACCACAGGGGAGGGGGTCTGGGAGGTCACTGCAACTCTGTGAACAGCCCCTGTTTCCTCCTCTGTGAAATGAGGCATTAAAAAAAGACCTCTGAAGGTTGTTAGGAGAATGAGGGAGTGTCATGCAGAGTCCCTGGGTGGCATAAACCTTAACGCGCTCAGCTGCTAAATGAAAGGTTGGTGATTCAAGTCCACCCAGAGGTGCCTCGGAAGAAAGGCCTGGTAATCCGCTTCTGAAAAATGAGCTACTAAAAACCCTATGCAGCACAGTTCTACTCGGTCACACACATGAGGGCGCCATGAGTCAGAATTGATGGCAACTGGGAGATCATGCAGGCAAAGAACATTCCAGAGAGCCTAGCACACAGAGAACTCTGGACTTCCATATCCAATTCATCAGCAAAGCTTGTTGGCTCCATCTTCCAAACATATCTAGAATCCAGCAATACCTCACCACCCCCCTACTCTGCTCCCTCACAGGTCCTGCCACCATCCCCCCCCCCCTCAACTGGACTATTGCAGTCTCCCCCTCACCAGGCTCCTGGCTTCCACCTTCACCCCACAGTCTGTTCCCCTAGCAGAGGAGGGCCAGGTGCTAATTTAGGATTTCTCCCGCTCCCTCTGCCTGCTGCAAGAATAGACGTGGGGGACAACAGGAAAAGCAGGGAGCCCAGGGAGGCCGCTGCAATTGTCCAGACAGAAGATGAAGGTGCTTACGACAGGGTGGGGCAGTGGGGGTGGGGCGAAATGGTCAGATTAATATATGCTTTCGTTTTTGTTTTTTAAAAATATTCACTGTATTTTTGGTGAACGTTTATATACAGCAAAACAGTTTCCCATTCAACAGATTAGTAAATTTTGAAGGTCGAGAGCCCTCAGGATTTGGTGATGGCCTGGATGTGTGGGTCAAGGGGGACTCCAAGGTTTTTGCCTGATGGGGAAGACAGAGGTAAACGGGATTAAGGGATAAATACATTTTCTAATTTGTCTGACCACTGTCACTCAAAGTTCAGTCCTCAGCCCTCAAGTACTTGAGTATTTGAAGAGAATCACCCTAGTCTTCAGAGTTAGCACTCAGTAAAGGACTGATGGAATTAAGTAAGTGGACAAAGATTATGTTAAATCCCTGGACAAAACAAAATCAATACTCAAGCAATCCCCATTTCCAAATGAAGAAACTGAAGCTGAATGCTGTAAGGCCCTTTCTGAGTGCAAGCTGGTAAATGGCAACTTGGAGGCCAACTCAGGTTGGTCTGACCAGGGATCCAGGCCCCTCACCCCTGCCCTATGCAGGACTGTAGACTCGATTTGGCCAGCACAGGGGAGCCCTTGGAGGTTTTGGAGCAAAGGTGTGACCAGATAAGAATTTGACTTGAGAAAGGTCAAGGCAGGGCGTGCCCAAGAAGACGAAGGCAGGTATTATCCACTCTCCCTGGTGACCTGGCCAAAATCCTTTATCCTTTCAGTCTGTAAACCAAAGATTTACTGCCGGAAGGTTTCAGGGAAATGTCCACACCCATCCCCCGCCACTTGAAGACCAGCTGGGTTAGGCTCAAGAGCTCATCACTTAGGTCAACGGCAGGGGCAGGACGCAATTCACAGAGGTCCCTCCCTGGAGAACATCCTTTCAGGAAAATGAGAATGGTTCAGCTCAGTGGACAAACTTAGCCAGCTCTTCAAAAGTTGAGTTCAGATTAACAACGAGGCTCCCATACCCAATCAACCAAGGTGCCCACGTGTCTACACACACCCACGGGCTGCCCTGTCTTGATGCAAATTACCGAAATTCGGCCTCCAGGGAGGGTCAGAACCCCAAGGACAGAATGCCTCCCCTCCCCTCCGCCCCCGGGCCGGTCAGTTCTCTTTCAATTCTGCCCTGGCCACCCATCGCTCTCCTTTTCTTATACTAAGTAGGTCCTCCCGGCCCCCAGGCGTCCATTCCCCATTCTGCCCTGAGCGCTGGAGCTGGCCGTTCTTCCCACCTTCCGGCTCGGATTAAGGAAACGATTCCACCCCGGGAAAGGCGGGAGTCTAAGGACAACCCCCGCTATTACTACTGTGCTGATCGTCGTCATCACCTCCCCGAAGGGGAGCATGCCTCCCTCCCCCTGATGCCCATCCCAGGCAGGACGCGGGGACGTCCCCGCTGCCGGCGTTCGGGTACCAAACCGTCCCCACTGCCGGCGTTCCAGGCGCAGTCTTGCCTTTTCCCGCCACGGCCGCCTTCGCACAGGGGTGGGCGTCCCGGGCCGGGGCCGGGGGAAAGGAACTCGCTCCGACTCCCCGCCACCGCCCCGCACTCACCGAGGTCCGCAGCTCTAGCGCCCCACTTCCGCCGGCGCCCCGCTGCAGAGGCCCGGGCAGGCCGCGAGCCGCCGAGCCTGGGTTCCGTCCGCGCTGCCGCCGGTGCCCCACGTGGTGGCCGGCGGGCTCGCAGGCTCGCAAGCCAGCACATACCTGGGCACTAACCCGCCAGCTTAGCTGGCGGGCGGGCGGGGCGCTTCAGTGTAATCCGCAAGCCGCGAGATGGGGGCGTCCGGGATGCCCATTTTACAGTCGAAGAAACTGAGGCCCAGAGAGGAGAAGACTCCCTCCCTGCTTGGTCTGTTTGGCCTGCAGGCCTCTGGACTATGCACCCCCACACCCTACACAAACACACACCCACCCCTACTTGAAACCAGGAAAAAAGCTTGCAGCAGGGTAGCTGGGATGGTCTGAAGGCGGTCATTTTGTCCTCCAGCCCTCTCTGCAGCCCCATTTTACAGAAGGGGTAAACTGAGGCACTGCAGGGGAATGTCCAGTGCAGACAGACTTCGCTTCCTCAACACGGAGTTCCACGCAGGCAGGGGCCCTGTGGGCCTCTGTACTCACCAGGTTCCCAGGGCCTGGTGCCTGGCGCACAGTAAGCTCTCTGCGAATATCCACTGAAAGAATGCCAGTCACATAGTAAGAGCTTACTCAATATTTGTTGAGGGAACTGTGAATGAGCCGGGTGGAAGGATGTATTAGTGAACAAGACAGATGAGGAATCTGCCTCTCTCAGAACCTGCATTCTAGGGGGTGTGGTGAGAGATCAAACATATGGTATCTAAACCCCAGCGAGTTGGCTCAGGGGGAAGGGGAGGCAAACGGAATAAATGAGCAAATGCATAAAAAGATTTCTCAGGGCATAAAAAGTGATGTGAACAATATAAAATAAGGGCAATGGGACAGAGGGTGGCAAAGCTGGGAGAGTTTCTTTAATTGAATGGTCAGAGGAGGTGGCATCAAAGGAGAAGCCACTTCAGGTAACTCTAGTTCCAACCTCTCTGAACTCCTTTGACAGAAGGGGAAACTGAGGCCCGGGAGGGAACTGGGGACAGATGGAGGTCATCGAGTGTAAATTGCAAGGCCTTCAGCAGGGTGGGGCTACTTTAGATACGTGGTCAGGGAGGCCTTGGGCTCTCTGGAGGACAATTGAGCTGAGACCTGAATAACAATATGAGGAGCCCACCTGGCCTTGAGCGTCGCTCCTCCGGGATGTGAAATGATCAGCATGTGAAATGCCAAATGCACTCAGTTCTGGGCTGGGGACACCTGGGGCAGGACAGAGGCTGGCCCTGACCTCAGGGGGCTTGTATTCTGGGGGGTTGGGAAAGCAATCAACAAACAGTCCTGTATTAGGATGTGGTCGGTGGTAAGGGATAGAGGGAAGGGTTGGGTGTGGATGCCACTTCAAACAGTGATCAGAAACGGCCGCTTTGACCAGGGAAGTTCAAGGATGGAGGGAGGTAAGACTATCTGGGTATTTGCTTTTAATTGCCAGTCCAGGTTTAGGAACAGAGCAGATGCATATCATTACCACCCTCCTTTGCTCCAAACCCTTGTAAGTCTCTAGTCTCGGGAAAATCAAAAAGAATTTAAACTGATCAAAAGACCCTCCTGGATCTGTCCCCATTTCCTCACTGACCTCAGTCACCCACCGCTCTGTCACTGTCTTCCTTGTTGTTCCTAAATACATAAGCCAGCTGGCTGGCCCCCTCACCTCCGTCGGGTCTTAACTCCACCATGCCCTTCCCAGATGTCCGGAAGAAAACTGAAGCCCCCACCCCAGTAACCCTATCCCCTTCTTAGTTTTATTTTTCTCCATGGTACTTATCATGGAAAGCACTCTTTATTTTACATATTTTATCTTGTTTGTAGTTTATCTACCCCGCTAGAGTAAAAGCTACACGAGGGCAGGGATTTTGGCTGTTTTGTTCACTGCTGTACCCCCTGTGCTTAGAAAAGGAGTCTGGTACACAGTAGGCGCTCAATAAATGTTTGCTAAATGAATTTTGATTGTAATGAATTTCGTGGAACAGTCCAGATTACCAGTACGCGCCTAAATAGAAACGTGGCCGCTACCATTTTCTCGCGGGAGGTATGTGTTGCCAGCCTGTGCCTCAGTTTCAGCAAGCGTGAAATGGTCGGGTTAGGTCACTCCACCAGTTGCAGTGGGCACTGTCTAGATTGAGTCGGGCTGCCGGAGGGCCCCTGCGGGGCCGCCCCGGCCTCTCCCTCCAGGCCCCGCCCCCGGAGGGCGGAGCCGCGGCCCGGCCAGCACGTGTAAGAGTTCGCGGCGGGTCGCCGCAGTCACTCACCTGAGCGCCGCGCTACGAGCGCACTGCTCGTGCGTCCTCCGCCTGCCCGCCAGCCAGCTCGCCCGGCCCGCGACCCATGTCCCGCCGCAAGGCCGGCAGCGCGCCTCGCCGAGTCGACCCCGTGCCCGCCAACTCAGACGACGAGATGGAGATGCCGGACCTCGTCATCGAAGTGAAGCCCGAGCTAGACGCGCGGCCCCTACAGGCCCCGGGGCTGGGGCCCTTCTCCCCGAAGGAAGCGCCCGCACCCGGGCGTCCCGGGGGCGAACCTGGCCATTCCCCCGGCCCCACGCCCGCCGGGGCTGCCCTCCACGCCCTCGGCGCGCGGAGCCAGTGGGCCGTGTGGACGCCGCTGATCCCCAGCTCTCTCGGTGAGTTCCCCGGCCCCGGGCCGAGTCTCCCTCCACTTTGACTCTCGCGTGAGGGGAACTCCCTGCACTGGGCGCGGACCCCTGGCCCTGCACTCCCTCCCTCGGCCGGTCCTGGCCCCCAGCCCCCTTTCTGACCCTCGGGCTTCCTCTCTCACTCGGAACCCCTGACTCTCATCCTGGCCCCGCCCCGCGCTCACCACCCGCTTCCTCCCTGCAGACCGCCAGCCCTGGACCGAGAAACACCCAGATCTGTTGACCTGCGGCCGCTGCCTGCAGACCTTCCCGTTGGAGGCCATCACGGCCTTCATGGACCACAAGAAGCTGGGCTGTCAGCTCTTCAGAGGCCCCAGACCCTCGCAGGGCTCAGGTGCGTAGAGTCGGCATGCAGTCCCTCTCTCAAGTTCAAGGGCCTGGTTTCCTGCGAGAGAACCGCGGCTGAGCTGGACAGGCAGGGCAGCGAGCACGACTTCCCCTTTCTGGCTCCCCTTGGGGTGCAGCCTAGGCGTGGCCAGGGCCTGCCCCGTCCTAGCTGGGACCTGTGGCGGTGGGGGCGGGGGCCGGGCAGGGAGGGAGGGCGGCCCACAGGGTGTGGCCAGCCCCAGTAGACTGGCCTGGGGATTTGCCACAGGCACCCCCCCCCCCTGCAATCTGGTTTCACTTCTCCTTCCCCTTGGCCAGAAATAACTGGCCAGGTGGCTGGACCAGGGTGGCAGTAGGGAGGACCTCTGGGAGGGGGCAACGGCCTGAGGCTGGGGGGGGGGGTTGGTCTAGACCAGCTGGAAGGGGAGGCTGCCACCCTCTCCCACCTCTTTCTCACTTCTGGTCCATTCTGCTCAGACCCTAGGATGGGGCTTCTGTCATCTGCCCCTGATGGAATCTCCCAGCCCTGAGTGCTGGGAAGCCCCTGGTTGAGCCCTGCTCTGGGTGTCTGGATACCTGGGTTTCTTCCCTTGGGAGGGAATTAAAACCCTTAACGTGGTGCTGTGGTTAAGGCTCATCCAAATTTATGAATTTTCAGCCCTGAGGGCCCATGCCCTCCTGGGACTTTTGTGAGAAACTGAGTCATACTCAGGGTTGGGCAGAGGGAGGGTCCCACGGTGGGAGAGAGGAGGAGGGGAGGGGCTGTGATCAATCACATTTTTTTAGCTGGACCCCCTGGTGGGCAATAGCTGTAGAACGGTGGGCACTTTGGGGTTGTGGGCTTAGCTCATGTTTACTGAAGACTTAATATGGACCAAAGCTCTCAACGCTAAAGGGAGGGGACCCTTAGGATCTCCATATTCTAGCACTTGAGGAAACTGAGGCTCAGAAACAGGTATGTCTTACCCAAGATTCCACAGCTAGGGAGCAGGGGAGTGGAATTCAAACGCAGGCCAGGCTGACCCTCCCCAACCCCTACCAGTGCTCTTGATCCCGGTATCGCATTACAAAGGCAACCCCATCCAAGACTGTCCAGGATTCGAAAAATCTAATAGCAAGTGGACCTGGGACTTGTCTACTGAGGAACCCAGAGAAAGCATCAAGTGTGGGGTGGACATCGAGGGTAGGGCATCTGTGTTGCTACCCTTCCACCTCTGCGTGGCTGCTAAGCCTTCTGCCCACCTGGACCTTGGCCCCCTTTTCTGTAAGGTGGGGATAATGAGATCATGCAGGCCCCTGAGCTTGGGGCCTTGCGTAGAGAAACCCACTCAATAATTGAAAGCCGCTAGGTGGTGCAAGGGTTAAGCTTCGGTTCCCTCCCCAGGAGAAAAGACTTGGTGATCTGCTCCTGTAAAGATTCCCAAACCAAATCTGTTGCCATTGAACCGATTCTAACTCATAGCAACCCTATAGGACAGAGTAGAACTGTCCCATAGGGTTTCCAAGGCTCTAATCTTTATGGGAGCAGATCGCCACATTTCTCCCAAGGAGTGGTGCTGTCACCATTGTACCACCCGGGCTCCTTCCATAGGTTATAGCCTAGAAAACCCTATGGGGCAGTTCTATTCTGTCCCATAGAGTTGCTATGAGTCCGAGTCAACTCCACAGCATGCATTATTAAACCAACAGTCTTTTTTGAAAATCGGTTTCCCTGCTTCCCAGGTTTCTGGATTGAAATACCAATCCCAGCCCTTTCAATCTGTGTGACCTTGGGGATGGTGTCCCTCTGTGCCTCAGTTTCCCTGTATGGAAAAAAGAGGTTTTATTTCCTGTTTGAAGGGTAGCTGTGAGTGAGCTGATGCAGGCATGGTCTAGTCCACAGGACCCACTTACTGGATTGTGTCACCTCCTTAGCCAGGCCTTCCCACCACCCTGCACAATACAGCACTCTGCCCCTCTACGAAAATAGAAGGAATCCCCGGGTACTCTGCACCCACTGCACAGATTACTTTCCTGGTTTTTGTCTGCCCACATCTCTGAACGCCAGCTTCTTTGAGAGCAGGGAGTTTTGTCTGTCTGTCATGTAACTGCTGAGTCCTCGGCCCCCAGAACAGAGCCTTTCCCACAGAAGATGTCCAGCTGGCAGCTGTGAACAGCTGTGGAGCTGCGACTACCATTACTTTGATCACGTAAGCAGTGAGCGCTCCTACTAACTGCCTTGCCCCATTCTCTTCTCCAGAACGTGAGGACCTCAAAGCTTTGAGCTGCCTCCGCTGTGGGAGACAGTTCACGCAGGCCTGGAAGCTGCTGCGCCACGCCCAGTGGGACCATGGCCTGTCCATCTACCAGACAGAATCCGAGGCCCCAGAGGCCCCACTGCTGGGCCTGGCCGAGGTGGCTGCTGCTGTGTCTGCCGTGGTGGGGTCGGAGGTTGAGGCCAGGGCCCCCCGAGTGAGCGGCCGGCGGAGCCCCACCTGTTCTGTGTGCAAGAAGACCCTCAGCTCCTTCAGCAACCTCAAGGTCCACATGCGCTCGCACACGGGCGAGCGGCCCTACGCCTGTGACCAGTGCCCCTACGCCTGTGCCCAGAGCAGCAAGCTCAACCGCCACAAGAAGACCCACCGACAGCTGCAGCCCCAGAGCCCCTGCGCCGCTGACGCTGGTCAGGAGCAGGCCTCCGCGGCACCCCCAGAGCCAGCCGCCCACGCCGCCGCCCCGGCCAGCACCCTCCCGTGCAGTGATGGGGAAGGGGCTGGAGCCGCTGCCACAGCAGGTGTCCAGGAGCCTGGGGCTCCTGGGGGTGGGGCTCAGGCAGGCCCCGCGGGTGACGGCTGGAGAGCCGCTGCCCCCAAGGAACAGAGAGCTGACCCTGCAAAGAGCCAGAAGTCTTTGCCCAAGAAGATGCAGAAGTCAGCAGGAAAGAGCCGCGGGCCCGGGGGCAGCTGTGAGTTCTGCGGGAAACACTTCACCAACAGCAGCAACCTGACAGTGCACCGGCGCTCGCACACGGGGGAGCGGCCCTATGCCTGCCAGCTCTGCCCCTACGCCTGCGCGCAGAGCAGCAAGCTCAACCGCCACCGCCGCATGCACGGCCTGGGGCCCGGCAGCACTTGCTTCCAGTGTCCCCACTGCTGCATTCCCTTTGGCCTGCGAGCCACCCTGGACAAGCACTTGCGACAGAAGCACGGGGAGGGGATGTCTGAGCACCGGGCTGCCCCTGTGCCCCACTCTTAATGGCACTGTTGACCTGCCTGTCCCTCCCCCTGCTCCAAGTAAATCCTCCCTCCTCTAGTGCTCGTTTGGACTCTGGCTTTCTTGGGGTGTCTCAGGTGGGGTGGGAGGCTCCCCTCCTCGGGTAGACGGCTGAACAGACCGGTTTGGGGTGAGCGGAAAGGCCGGCCCCCAGCACCTGGGGCATAGCAGGACTGGCACAGAAAGCTGCGCTCCCAGTTCACGGTGTGGGCGAGGCCAGGGCAGGGGCCGAGGCCAGGGCAGGGAGCGGCCTGGACCTGTCGCCAGAGGCCCCTGGGCGAAGAGAGTCCCTGCCCAGCCTCTGCTAGGTGCGGGCTGGCACTCGTCCACACATGCAGGCAGGTCTGGGTCCTTCCACCCCGCAGCGGTGCCCATGCCTTCGCTTCCAGCACGCCTGGCTGAGCCTCCAGGCCCCTGACCGACACAGCAGTTCGGAGCAACAGCCCCACTGCCCTTGCACCATCCAGAGGTCTGGTTCCTCCAGGAAGGACTGGCCCCGCCAGCAGCACTGCCACGCAGCCAGTTCCCAACCCGGGACTGCCCTGTACCAACCACAGACCACACTGAGGCCAGGTGAAGGGAATTAAATAACGTTTGATTTTATTATTCCACCAGAGATAAAACCAGTAGCATCTCAGCTTGAACCCTACCCCGCACTGTCCCACCTCCCCCACCCACCCTCACCCCCCGTCTTCTGCCTAGTGGCGGTAATGGGGGCTTCGGGAGCGGGACCGTGAGCGCCTGGAGAGAGAAGGTGGGGGTGACCCTGTGAGGGTGCCTTGGAAGCAAGAAGCCTGCCCTACCCCAACATGCTGGGGAGCAACACCCTGGGGCATGGTTGGGGTGCAGGATGAGGGCTATGCCCTCCCGCCAAAAAACCCTGATTTCCAGGGGAGGGTCTCTGGGGAGCTGGGCTTACCTTCGGGAAGAGCTGTATTCCCGACCTGGGATGAAAGGAGGAGGGTGGAGACAAAGCAACAGGCCAGGGCTCCTGCCTAACCCGAGTCAAAGCTGGACTACTGGGGTTCCCTCCACCTGAGGCCACATCCACTGACAGGATGGGACAGAGAGGGCGCCGGGGACCTGCTGCCTCTGCCTCCCCCACCACACTGGGAACGGGCATTCTTGATCACTCTGTGATGACATATATTGTGTGTCTCCCTCTTAGGAGCTTCACTGTGGAAGGCTAACTGGAGAAGCAGCTTTGGTTCCTCTAACCATGTTATGACATTCTACTCCCTTTAACACCGGGGCCTGGGGAGCACTCCAGGCCAGTGGGGCACTCACTGTAGCGGGGGGAGGGCGAGCGGCTCTGCCGGCTGTACTGGCGTTCCCACTCTTCTCTCTCCTTCTCTCGGCGCTCCCGCTCCCTGCAGGGGGGCAGGGGAGACAGCCAACAGGAAGGGTGTGTCCCCCTGGGAACACTGACTGCCAGGGTGGCAGCAGCTGTCTGGTCTGCTCAGGGCAGGTGCCAGTCACACACCAGTACAAGCAGAACGGTAACCCAAGGGGGAGGTGGTGCTATTGTCCCCACGTGGAAACGAGCCACTGAGGCTCCGGGGTGACAGGCTGGTGGTTGGGATCTGAACAAACATAAGGGGACGAATGGTTCCATCATTGCTGCCCTGGCTCAGGGTGCCATCTCAAGTAGAGGATCTGTATGTGCTGAGTGCTTAACTGGCCCATGTCAGAATGAACAGGCTTAGCAAAGCCAATGGCTACATTTAGTGGGCGCCTCCTCCATGCCTGGCCTTGAGTCCTCCAACGAGCCTATAAGGTGGGGCCATAATCCCCTCCCCATTTAATAGACGAGTAACTGAGGCTCAGACAGGAGAAAGGCCTGTAGCACTGGGCAGCAGAGCCAGGATGACCACAACGCCAAGGCTCTGACTGCTCTGCTCCCCCACCTCCTCAGCCTCTGATGCCCAGTACACAGTGGGCATGTGCATTGCAGTGAATTACTAATATGTATCTTAAAATCAGTTTTTGTACCTCCCACAAATGACTGGGTGGGACTCTGCAAATGAAGTGATTGTGGCTCACCAAGGGGATTGGACAGCTTGCTAATAATGTAAATTAGATGCATGGCACACTTCTGGGAGTGGGACCATGCAAATAAGGTGTACAGAATCCTAACAAGGGGATTGGTCAGTTCTGCCATGCCACTAGGATTAAGAGGTGGGAAGGTAAGATCTCAACACCCCCAAGAAAGAAGACCCAGAAGTAGAACAGGTCTGGAATCCCTGTGCAGAGAACCTCTGAGATCCAGGAGACAGAGAGGGGAGCTGTTACACAGAAGGAAAACAAGTGATATGGGAAAGATAGCAGGAATCAGGAAACCTGCGTGAGACAGCTGTGGTGGGGCTTCTGGGCCCACGGAGTGAGAAAGCTAAGCGCCTTTGGGCACAAGGCTTACTGGCTGACTCGGGTACCTCTGGGAACTTATTGGCAGAGCTAAAAAAGCTTGTTAACACTTGCCCAAGCAGGGCAGAGGCCAGGCTAAGGGGCCAGAGAGAGGTGTGCCTGTGGGCATAGCTGAGAAGAGGCTGTCCTGATGGAAGAACTGTATCCTAGTGTTCCTGAACCTGAATTATCACCTGTTACTTCCTAATAAATCCCATAACTGTGAGTATGGTCTGTGAGTTCTATGTGGTCACTGCAACGAATTATGGAACCCAGCAGAGAAGCAGAGAGTGCTGTGGGAGGGACAAGTGTCAGAATTGGTAAAAAGAGGAAGAGGAGGAGGCATGAGGAGGAGGTCAGACATAGGAATCAGCCTTGAGCTGTTGATCTTGATTCTCCTTCACCTTGTTAAGTCTGAGGTCAGATGCCACCCCCACCATGCCATTTTTACAGCATGCAATAGACAATGATGACAACCATAACAACAGCAGCTTCAAGACACCAAGCCTTACTGCAGGACCCTGTGAAACCCTGAAAGCAGGCCCTGTAGAGGGGACGTGCCATGTGACCTCTGTCTCACAAAGGAGTCCCAGCTCCAAGAGGTTAGGCTGCTCATCCAAAGACTCACAGCAAGTATAGAATGGAACCAGAAACAGCTAACAGGCTACACAACAAGCTCCTGGCCACTGAATGACCCATCTCCTTACCAACACCAAGCGTCATGGCCCCAGGTGCTGCGCAGGGGCCCTGGATGGGCTGAGTTTTATGGGCACCAAGGCCTGGACTGTCCACACTGCAGACTGTCCCGTAGCACAGAGCATTAAGGGCAGTTCGAGAGGGTGAGTCCCTGGTCCAGGGCCACACAGAGGCAGCGCTGGGATTAGACTGGCTCTGAGGGCCTGGACGCCTCACAACACTGCGACAGAAAGAAAAGGAAGCAGGAGGGATGAAGAGAGGAGCTCTGGTCTCCCCAGCACTGGGTGGAACCAGCCACGGGGCTGGCATCAGTTCACTCACTCAACAAACATTCACTGAGCGCAACTACACACACGTTCTAGGCACTGAAGATACAGCAGGAACACACAGCAGATTCTAACAACACGTTAGCAGGGAACACACACAGTGAGTAAATAAAAACACGTGTCATTAATGCCGGTGGAGGTTAGTGCTACAAAGAGTTCTAAAGCAGGCTGAAAGATGGGGTCTTCAGTGGATGGCCAGGGAGGGCCTCCGGAGTGAAGTGAGGGAGGGAACCGGGTAGGTATCTGGGGAATACCCCAGCTTGGAGGCTGGAGGAACTGGTCGGGGTCGAAGTGGCTAAACTAAGTTGGGAACGTTGTTAGGTGCCGTTGAGTCAATTCTGACTCATGGCGACCCCATGTGTGCAGAGTAGAACCGCTCCATAGATTTTTTAAGGTTGTGACCTTTCAGAAGCAGATTGCCAGGCCTGCCTTCCAAGGTGCCTCTGGGTGGGTTTGAACCGCTAACCTTCTGATTAGCAGTCAAGCGCCAAGATGTCTGTGCCATCTAGGGACTCCAAGTTGGGACTGGAGGAAGGAAATCGAGGCAGAGGTGGTAGGAAGGTGGCGGTCACCACAGCATGGCCCTGAGGCTCTAGCTCTGATGTGCCCACAGAGGGTGGGCAGAGCTCCAGTGAGAAGCCAGGCAGCGGGGCACGTGGGCAGCCCAAAAGCAGGAGGGGGGTGGCACAACAGAGGGGTGGGGGTGCCTTACTTCATACGGATCTTGCGGGCCATGGCACGCAGCTCGTCCTCCCGCTCCTGTGGCAGAGATGGCTGTGAGGTGCAGCCTGGCTGGGCACCCCACCCACACCCTACACGTGCCCCCCCATCCCTGCCTCATACCTGCCGCTCATGCTCCTGCTGGATCATCTTCTCCTGAGCCGCCTTCTTATCCGCCTTGACTGTAGGTGGAAGGAACACAGTGGCTGAGTGGGGCCTCAAGAGGCGCCCACCCAGGTGAGGATGCTGAGCCCAGAGAGGTCAACCAGGCTGCTGAGAGGCCCGGGCAGGGTGACCGCAGAGCCACTCCTCCCCGACCTCCCCTGTCAGCTCCTGGCCTTTAGGAAGAGGCTGGGCCCCCAAGGCCAGGGCTGGTCGTCCAAGTGCTTCTACTGCTGCGGGAGGAGGAGCTGGGAGAGCAGAGGGGAAGGTGAGGGACATACACTGCCTGTTCAGGGCCTTCTGCATCCTCAGCTTCAGCTTCTCCTGCGGTGTCAGCTTGGGCTGGGGAAGGTGAGAAGAGACGGAGCGGGGTGGGTGTCCCAGAGCTTCCACAGCCCACCTCAGCCAAGAGCCTGGGACTTGTGGGGGCAGTCGGGGGAGCGGCAGGCTGTGGACACCTGCCATAATGGTCTGGGATGCTCAGGCAGAGTTGTGTGGTCAGGAGAAGAGGGGGCAGGATTCTCATGGGGCACAACCCCCCCCAGTCCCCTCCACCCCTGGGGCTGGATCTCCCGGCCCGCCCAAGCCCCCCTGCAGGCCCACCGGGCCCAGCTCTCGGGCACTGCTGCTGGCGGGAGTTAGACGGGCGAGTTCCAAATTCTTACTGACTTTGGCAGCTCCTGTCTCTTTACCAGCGGCAGGCTCGGTCCTGGGGGGGGGATGGCAGAGGGCATGATCGGGAGAAGGAGAGGGCAGCTGCCACCTCCGACCCTACACAGTATGAGCACTGCCTCAGCTCAGACACACAGAGCCATTGTCCTTCAGGCCCTCCAGAGAGGGGCTGTATCTCCCTCTAAATCCCTTTCCAAGACAAGGCTGTAACTGCAGACCCCCCCGGACAGGGCCATGTCCCCTCAGACCCCAGAGCAGGGCCATGTCCCCTCAGACCTCCTAGGTAGGGCCAGCTCAGGTACCCTTCAAATAGAAAGCGGTGTGTTCAGCCCCACCCCACCCGAGGCTGACAGCCCTCATCCCTGAGAACCGACTGCTCACTTTTTCAGCTTCTCGCCCACGGCAGGGGACGCCGCCGGCCTGGCCAGCTTCTCCCTCGGGGGCGATGGCGAGTGACTCTGGCTACGGCTGTGGCTGCGGCTGCGGCTCCTGCTATGGCTGTGGCTGCGGCTGTGGCTCCGCGTCAGGCTGCGGCTGCGGGATGGGCTGAGGGACCAGCTGCTGCGGCTGCGGCTGCTGCTGTGGTGCCTGGGGCCTCGGGCGCCCCGCCTGTACCGGTCCCCTGAGCGGGAGCGGCTCCTGAGAGCACGGCAGGGCAGGAGAGGGCCATGAGGCTCAGGGGATCCCATCTGCACCCCTCCCCTGGCCCCAAATCAACAGCTCTCCTGAGGGCCTGCAAGGCCTGTGCAGCCCAGTGTGACCCCGATTTGTCTCTCCTGGTACCTCCCCTCAAAAGCCCCCAGAGCCCGCTCCCTCAGGGCTCGGAACCCACATTGTCCTCTCCACACCACTGGCCTGGTGCCTGAGTCGTCCCTGACCCGGCTTCACTTCTCACACAACTCACTCAACAGCCAACTTCTCTGGGAGGTGACCTCAGAGAAAGGGCGAGGGGAACTCAGCTGGTCTGCTCCCCTTGGTATGTCACGCGCAGCTCCCGGCACAGGACACGTACCCGGGTGACCTAATCTGCACCACCTCTTAATCTTGCCTAGGGTCCCACATCTCAACCCCAAAGGGTCTCTCCCTCCCCAACCCCTCTCCCTCAGTCTCTGCACACATGCCCCACCCTCCTCTGCTCAGGACCCTGGCGGGGGCTCCCTACTCTCAAGCCGGCTTCACTTGTAGCCAGGCCGCCCCCTCCTTCCCTGCCTCTCCTGTCACCACCATGGGCCAGGCTACAGGGGAATGACCTGGAAGCCAAGTCCAGGCCCCACTCTGATTCTGTGGTGGCTCTCTTAGATTCTGACACAACAAAGGTTTGTTGTCAAAACTGTGAAAATAAGAACTGCCCTTTAAAAATTCAGACTTTCAAATTCTCTGGGGCAAGTGGAAGACTGGGGCACACTAGGCCCGTCAGATGAGATGTGTGCTCCCCAGGTCACCAGGGTGCACGTGGCACCTCCATTTTCCCTGCCAGCCTCCAACCCCCGGCCCCGCCCAGCTGGCTGACACTGCGATCCATGCTGCCAGCGCTAAGAGCACTCAGCGAGTGCTCGGCCGCTTCCGAGCGCTTCACGTGGCTCCACCTGTTGCGCCCTCCCAACGACTCGATGCAGTGGGCGCCCTCGGCACAGCTACTCCACAGACGGAGAGATGAGGCTGAGCTGACACCCCGGCAGTCTGCTCCACAGTCCGTGCTCTCAACCCCCAAGCCCCAGCGTTTCCCGAGAGCGCTCCAACCCACCGGGGGATGGGGACGGCTCAGTCTCCCAGACAGTGTTCCTTCCCACCCGTCTGTGCTCGCCCATGAAGGGCTGCCTGCCTGCCCTCTCCCGCTACCCCTGGCTCACAAACACAGGATCTCCCCCTGCTGACTCGCCCCAGCCCAGGTCCCATCCCTCACTGCAAACTACAGAGTGACTACACAGCTTCACCCCCTCGGCCTGGAACCCCTGACAGAAGAGGCAGCAGCCCCCTCTCAGAACATAAGGCCACCAAGAAGAAATGCTCAGTCTCTCTCCCAGCCATGAGCTCAAAGGACAGCGCTAGCTTGGGGCTCTGAGTAGAGTGGGCACATCTCTCCTTCTTGAGGAGAGCGGTGGGTGGCCTACACCTGCCCCTCGGACCTGGCATTCTTTGAACATGGTGGCCATGTCCCCTACTTCAGAGCATGGCTCCCTGAGATCGGAGTCCATGTCCACCCCACACACTTGGGGACCCACACCCACCTGCTTCTGCGCCGGGGCCCGTAACCACCGCGCCGGGCAGGCGAGCGGGAGTAGCGGTGTCCGTCCCGGGAGCCCCCACCTGAGTGGCGCCGGCCGCAGCTGCGGGAGCGTGAGTAGCGCCGGGAGCGGGACCGGGAGCGGGACCAGGACCAGGAGCGGGAGCGGGCGTGGCGACCAGAGCGGTAGTAGCCCCCGCCACGGCGGGAGCGGGAGCTGGAACGAGAGCTGGAGCGGGAGCTGGAGGTCCTCGAGGCGGAGGAGGAAGAGGAGGAGGAGGAGCGGCGGCTGCAGGCAGGGCACGGAGGGGCGGTCAGCACGGCCCTGGGCCGCAGCCCCCCACTGCCCCGGGTCCCCCCCACGGTGGCCGGGGCGTAGGGCGGGCGGCGTGAGCGTTACCGACCGGGCGCTGGCATTACGTCCCGGTGCGGGGCCGCCGGGCTGGGGGGGTGCGGGAGGCTTCCCTGAGGCAGCCCCTGATGCGGCAGCTGCAGCTGCAGCTGCAGCTGCCTCCTCATCGCTGCCCCCAAAGCTGGTAATGAACGTGATCTTCTCCTCGCGGCCTGGGGTTGGGGAGCGGGAGCGAGAGCGGGACTCCGAGCTGGACTCCGAGGGTGACCTACAGAACAGGGGGGGACACGGCTCACTCACCAGGCTCCCCAACTCTGGCCACCAGATAACCAGACACACTGTGGAGCAGCAGAACCACAGCCACGGGCCCCACAGCAACACTGGAAACCCCCTACCAAAGAACCAACCCAAAAGGGCAGAAAGGGACCAGCTATGCACAAGGATTTCGTTCCTGACCACAAATCCGAAAGCAAATGAACGAAAACTGCACTGACTTTATGTGGCTGTTAAAAACAGACGAGAAAATCTACGCTCAACGTGGAAAGTATCCCTCGATATATACAACAGGAACCAGTTGCCATAAAGTCAATTCCAACTCATGGCAACCCCATGTGTATCAGATTCCACAGGATTTTCAATGGCTGGTTTTTTTTGGAAGTAGATCATCATGCCTTTCTTCTGAGGCACCTCTGGGTGGCTTCAAACCGCAAACCTTTCAGTTAGCAGCCGAGCACGTTAACCATTTATACTACCCAGAGACTCCCAATATATCAAGTGGGACAAAAAGGCAAGTTATGAAATGTTAACGGTAGTACAATCCCATTTTTATAAAATAAATGATTTGGTATTACTAACAGTTCCTATCTGTAAAACCAGACATTTTCCTAAAACTTTAACATGTTTTATCTCAACTAACCACACACTAGCCCACTAGGCAGAGGCCACCTTTCCCCAACTCTAAAGAGAGAACTGCAGCTCAGAGAGGTACAGCCCCTTCTCAAGGCTGCAGAGCTCAGATGAGGCGACTGGGGTTAGATTGAGGTCTATCAGCCATCAAAGCCCCTCACCTCCACCTGACCCACCCACTTCCACACTCAGGCAATTCTAGGCTCCTATTTCTCACTAGTGATTTCTGGGAGTTGACATTTCGGGAGACTTGATTTCTAAGTCACAGCTAGCTATCTGCCACGTTTGATCATTTTTACCACAAGGCCACATAATTACGTTTAAAATGAGAAAAACAAAATAACAAAGGTTTAAATCTAAACAAAAAGAAACAAAACTGGGAAAAACAGGCTAACAATATGGGAAACAGAAAAATGGTTCACACCCCAAGCTGACACCAAGTGCTAAGAGACCCTAGGACACATCCACCCAGGACGGCGTATAGGGTGGCCCCTGCCCCTCCCCACCACGTGTAGCCCCGAATCTCAGGCCCCGCCTCTCCTGGGCCCCTGGGACTCACCGCTTATAGGGGTCATAGGTGGGGCTGTCTCGGCGGGCATAGCTATGGAGAGAACGGGGTGGGGACAAGTGGGGGATTGAGGTCTGAGCAGGCATGGAATTGAGTCCAGCCACCCAGCCTGGGGGATCAAGGCCAGGCACAGTCAGGAGGGGCTGAGGCCAAGAGAGTGTCCTGTCCTGATCCCTCCACCTACCCAGCCTCAGATCTATCCAAAGCCCAAACCTCGGCCCCACTTCACACACAATGCCCAGACCATCCTGACGCTGAGCAACAAGGGTTCTGGCAGCCTCAGTTCTGCTTGGCCTCCTGACCTCAGACCGGAAGCACTGCTCCTCCCTCTCCATGTCCCCGGTTACGCTAACGAGGGTCCTGGCTTCTTGATGATGATGCTTGAACTAAAACAGCTACCATGTCTTAAATGCTTCCTAGGTACCAGGCACTAACTGCTTCATGTTCCACTCCTCTTTGTAACAACTCTCTGATGGAGTACCATGAAGACTCATTCATACTTTGCAGCTAAGGAAACCGAGGCCCAGAGAGGTGAAGTCACTTGCCCAGGGTCACACAGCTCATAACTGAAGGAGCGGGATTCAAACCTAGCGCCTATGTTTTCACGCACTACACTATGTGGGCTTCTACATGATGACGATGATGGGGGAAAGCAGTCCTGCCTTTTAATGAATGTCTTCAGACCCTGCACCCACATCATGTCACCAAAGCCTCACAGAAACCCTTAACGGCCCTCTTTTAACAGGCCTGCCTGGCCTAGGAGGCTGTGGACAAGCTCACTACCCATCACACCACCTCATCCAAATCCACCCCAAGACCTCCAGGTGGGGTTGTCCTGGCAGGTCACAGTGCCGTGTTTCCCAAAGGAGGAAACTGAAGCTCAGATAGGAGAAGTGGAAGTCATGTGCCCAAACTCCGACAGCACCAGTGGGACTCCAGGGCCAGGCCCTGGCCCCTCAACTCTTCCAGCCAACCCTGCCACAGCCCACGCCATGTGCCACCTCCCCATTGGCTCCCGGGAGCATGGCAAGAGCCCCATGAGTGGAACAGCTAATGGTAAGGGGGTCCACACACCCCTCGAGGCCATGCCCACCTCTACACCTCTGCTGGGGACATCAACTGCCCCACTAGGAGGTCCCCCTCCTTGAGCTTCAAGTCCACCTCCAAAGTCTTCGTGGCCTTGAGCCCCTGCCCCCAGGCTCCTCAGAGCCCCCACAAGACTGTCACTGACAGGCCGGGCACAAAAGAGAAGCCCTACCTGGGCGGGCTGATCTTGCGGCCCCTCAGCCGCTTCTCCCGGAACTCCCTTCGCTGGCGTCGGGAACGACGGCCCTAGTGTGGGGAGCACCAGGCAGGTGAGGGTGCGCCCCCAGGCACTCCCTGCTCCCCCGGCCCGCAGGCCCTGCTCTCACCGAGTACATGGCCTTCTCCTCCTCCAGGGCCTTGGCATGCTTGATGGCCTCCGCCTCTTCCTTGTCTTTCCGGAGCATCCTGGGTAGGGGGGTGAGGGTCACGGTGGAGGAGGGGCCGGTCACAGGGTGATGAGGGGTCACAGGCAGAAGGAGGTGAGGGAGCCCGTGCCATCCCGGGGTCTCTCATTCATTCAGTGATGATTTGTCAAGCACCTACTGTGTGCCAGTCAGGTGCTGTTACAGGTGCTAGAGACTCAGCACTGAAAAAAAGCCATAAAGCTCACCCCCTTGAGCTTCCATTCTAGGGGAGCAGGCAGACTATGAACAAGCTAGTAACACACAGAGAATGTCATACGGTGAGAACCTTGACAGGAAAAAGCAAGCATGGAGGGGGACACAAAGTGCAGGCAGTGGACAGAAGCTGCAATTTACACAGGATGGTAGCAAAGAAAGTGACATCTGAAGAGAAACCTGTGCTGAGGGCAGGTGGAGGGACCAGCAGGCAGAGAAGCCTGAAGGCAGGGACGGGCCTTGGGCATTTGAGGAGCAAGGAGGCCTTGAAGGCGGGGTGTTTGGAAAGAAGAGACACTGTCAGGAGGGAGAGGGGTCTGGACAGCCAAGGCCTTGTGGGCCGTGGTGAGGATGCTGGCTTTTCCTGAGTGAAGTGAGCACCGGGGGTGGGGGTGGGTTTGTTCTGCGCTGACTCGGGTTTACTCTGTTTCTGACTCACTGCTCTGTTAGCTGGGGCTGGTCTGTGAAATCTCATGAGTGAAGAGTTCAGTGCGGGGAGCACAGAGGAGGCTGAGCGCGTGAGCAGATGAGTGAAGCCTATCCACTAGGGGGCGCTGTCTGCCAGGCCCAGGAGACCAGGAGCTTGAAGGATGAGACTGGCCACAGGCTACCCTGAGGTGGCACACTGAGTAATGGTGCTGCAGCCTCCGTTTCTGCACAGGTGAAGTGGGCTGATGAATGCCCACCCCCTGGGTTCCAGAGCCTGTGTGTGGGGTCCTGGGCAGGGCTGGCATGTGAGAGCTCAGGGACCGGGTGGCAGGAAGAGGCCTGGATGGGGCCCACAGGGGATAGAGGGGAGCTGGCGGGCAGCGCTCACCTAACGAAGTCACCGTCGGCCATGCCATAAGTCGTTGCCTGCTTGTTGAGATCTGCCACCTGCTCCTGGTTCAGTTCATCCACGTCCACCTCCACGTCTGCACCAAGAGAAGGGCTGTCAGGGGCGGAAGCCCCGGTGCAGGGACGGGAGAGGAGACAGTGCCCCGGGAGGGGGTGCCGGGGGCACCCACTAGCCTTGAAGCCACTTCAGGGAGGGCCTGGTCAGGTCTGGTGTGTCTGGAGGCCCCCAGAGGAGAGAACAACACTGTGGTGGGGGTGAGGGGGACTGGAGCCGGGGGCTGTGATGGAAGGCAAATGAATGAAGGGTGGGATGGATGGATGTGTGGCTGGAGAGGGAGGGGTGAGTAGGGGTGGGCAGATGGGCAGATGAAGATTCAGGTGGGTGTGGCTGGGGCCTAGGAGGATGGTAAGTGGAGGCAGGGCCTGGGAGAGTGGTTAAGTGGAGGCGGGATGTGGGAGGGTAGTAAGTGGAAGTGGGATCCAGGAGGGTGGTAAGTGGAGGTGGGATGGGCGGACGGAAAGCACAGGCTCTGAGGGAGGGCGAACGAGCGGACAATGGCTGAGTGAGCGGTAGAGGAAAGGCCGGAGCCAGACGGAGGATGCTGGCTGGGTATTCAGGTTGGGGGGTGGCACAGTGGAAGGCGAGGCACAGAGGCCGGGACTGAGGGTGGCTCTGCGAACAATGGCCACTTGTTTTTGCAGGAGAGAAAGCACGGGGAAGAGACAGCTGGCCCAAGCAGATGAAAGAGCCCAAACCTTGCTGAGAGAAGTATCATAAAATGAGAAACGAGAGAGCGTCGCAGAGAGGGAGACAGAAAAATGAAGGCAGGGAAGAGGAGAGCATGAGCGAGACAGGAAGGGCGGAGGAGGCTGGTGCGCCCAGAGCAGGGGAGAAGAGAGGGCTCATAATCGCGGATGCCCCACGAGGGTGAGGGACGAGACACAGAAACGATGCCCAGGGACTGGGGGTGGAGAGGGCAGAGAGGGGACCCCACCGATGTCGGGGATGACCTCATCTTCATCCGAGTTGCTCTCCTCCTCTGCCGGCGACTCCTCCTCCTCTGGCTTCTCTGCCACCTTCTCCACCTCGGCTACCGTGCTGTCCTCATAGGTGTAGCCAATGGAAGCCTTCTTCTCTGCCAGCCTGGGACAGGGGAGCCGTAAGACGGGTGGGCCCAGTGGACAGGACGCAACCACGGTGACCAACCCTGAGGGCCTGCCTCACTCCTTCCAAGCCCCACATACTTAGCTCTTGGTACGCTCGCCTCCAGGCCCTTGCACACGCTCTCCCCTCAGTGTGGAGCCCTCTGCTCCACCATGCACCAGCTCCCCACCCCGCCATCCTTCAGGTCCCAGCTCCAGGGTCCCGGCCTCCAGCAAGTTCTCCTTGACCCCTCAGAGTGGGTCGAGCGCTGCCCTGAGTCACACTATCAGGGGACGGGTCCATCCTCTCCACTGGACCACTGAGTTCCAAGGGCACGGTGTGGAATTATCTTGGGCAACAACGTGCCCCTAGCATTGCCCAGAAGAGAGCAGGGGTCTCGTGAAGGTCTGCTGTGAATTAATTTAGTCAACATTCCCGAGGATTTCCCAGTGCCCGGCCTCATCTTGGAAGCTGAGAATCAGCAGCATCCTCAGGGAGCTTCCAGTCAGACCATGTGAGCAATCTTAGGTGGAGGAAACCAGCAAGTGCTTCGGGTCACCCAGAAGGAAGGCCTGGGAGCAGCAACGAAGCACCCACTGAGGAAACTGCTGGTCCCCTGGGCCAGGGGGCTCCATGACTGCCCGTGGACAAATGAAACCATCCCCTTGGAGGAGGAGGGAAGGGTAACCCTGGCAGAGGGCACGGTGTGTGCAATGGCCTAGGGACACTGAGCATGGTCAGACTAGGGTGGAGGGCAGAAGCCAGACCGACGGCCCCAGCTGCTGCCCCCCAGTCCCCAGCCACTTCTCAAGGGACATGTCTCTGAGAAGGTCCCTCCATAGTGACACGAGCTACTGTTGCTGTGAGCTTACTATATACCAGGTACCAAGACAAGCGTCCTACAGGCTCAACCTCCGGCAATCCTCACGAATGCAGGCAGTGGAGGCTCCTGACAGCCCATTTTACAGAGGAGGACCCCGAGGTTCAAGGAGGGAAGGCCCACTCGGGGTCCCAGCCAGGGTTCCCACCAGGGCCGTCTCTCCACAGGGTCTGTCTCAGAACGGCACTGCCCACTGCGCCACGAGCTGAAAAGCACGAGGGAGAACTTTCCACAAACACTTGCCCTCCAACTGCTGCTTCTTCCTCGAAACGTGTGTTAATCCAGCAAGTACCTACTGTGTGCCAACACTGGGCCTGGCTCTGGGAGGCACGGCGGACAGGATGGACAAAGCCACGGCCGGGTGGGCTCCCAGCCCTCCTGTCTCCCCCAGCCCCAACTCACTTCTTCTTCTCGTCCTCACTGGGTCTCTGGAGGCCTCCATACAGCTCGTCGATGTAGATCTGGTATAGGCACTGCTCCTCAGAGACTGTGGCAAGGCAAAGGCACGTGCGTCACACGGGTCGGGGAAACCCAGAGGGACACGTGAGAAAGCACTGGGGGCTAGCAGGGTGGGCGCAACCCAAGGGAAGCTGGGGACAGAGTCACTGATTCCAGAGAATGACAAACTGTGTCTATGGGGACTCAGGAACCGCAGGAGAGCCCTGCCTACAGCACTCAATGCCAAGTGACACTGAATACGGCACTTAGCTTCGCAGCCTCTGCTTCACTTTTTTTTTTTAGTAATATGTTATTTTTGTTGGTGGTGAAAACATATACAACAAAAAAGAATCTGCTGCGGTCGAGTCGATTCCAACTCACAGGCACCCTACAAGACAGAGAAGAACTGCCTGCCCTGAGGGTTTCCAAGGCTGTCGTCTTTACAGAAGCGGACTGCCACAGCTTTCTCCTGTATCACTAGTGGGTTCCAACCACCGACCTTTTGGTTAGCAGCCAAGAGCTTAACCACTGTGCCACTGGGGCTCCTTATACACGGCAGAACATACACAAAGTCAACAATTTCTACATGAGCAACTGAGTGACACTGAATACATTGTTAGAGCTGTACAACCATTCTCACCCTCTTTCTCGAGTTGTTCCTCCCCCTTTAACATAAACTCATTGCTCCCTAAGTTTCCCGTCTAATCTTTCGAGTTTCTGTCGTGAGCCCTGGTGAGCTCACCTCCCTGAGGGCCCTCGCCCTGCTGCTCCGGCCACACGGGCCATGTCTCTGTGCCTCCAGTGCCACCCCTGCACCCCCCACCAGGGAGCTCCTGCCCACTCTTCACTCGGTCAAGCACTCTGTCGTACCTTTCTCAGAGAACAGCCCACCGTCCGTCATAACATACCTTTGCTTGTAATTACCTGCCTGCTTCTAGAGCTGCGGCCCTCTCCCCGACTACACCCCTGGTTCCAGAACACTGCTGGACACACTGAAGGTGCTCCGTAATTATTTGTGGGAACGAATGAATGCGGAACCAGAGAGGACTAAGGAAACCCTGGCTCCACCACCAGGAACCTGTGTGGCCTCGGGTAATGGCAAAAGCAACAGTCAAATCAACGATGAATTTCCCCTATTGTAAGGCCTCACTTAAGAGAGAATTTTGGAAAACTGATTTTAAAGACGCAAAACGTCTTAGAAACAAAGAAATGTGGGACCAGCGAACCCGTCTGGAGGGCTGACTGTGCACCAGGCTCGGTACCGGGGTTTTACACACACGGCCTCATGGAGCCTTCATGGCCACCCCTGGGATGGAAACTGAGACCTGCCCCATACAGAATCCCCCTTCCCCTAACTCCATAGGAAAAGGCAGGTGCTCAAGTCCTTCTTAATGAATTGGGAGCTTTCTGCCAGGAGGCAGCAGTGCTTAAACGATACAGGTCCCAGGTCAGACCCAGGGGGGTGAGTATCCCAGCCCCTCAGCTCTGGGCCCTGCCTGCCTCCCCTGTAGCTGGAGCGCCACCCCTGCCTTGTGGGGCTGTTGTGTAGATGTAATGAGGGAACACAGACAAAGCCCAGGTCTGTTGGGCCCAAACTGCCCCAGCCAAGCCTTTATCCCCTCTCTTGCGAAAGGGCGGTAGGGTAATGCTGGGCTTGGTGAAAAACACTGAATGTACATAAATACTTAGCAAGTTATAAAATGCTGTCTAAGTATTAGTTTAAAACAAGGAGAAATGTCCTCTTCAGAACTGACACTCTGTGATCCACGAAGGCAGGGAAAATACACACAGAGGGGAAAAAATGTACTGTTGCTATTTCCCCAAGTTTTAGGGAAAAAAAGACTCCAGTCAGAGGGCACAGACTGTGAAAACCAGTTACCGTCAAGTTGATTCCGACTCACGACCACCCCTCGTGTTACAGAGTAGAACTGCTCCACAGGGTTTTGTTGGCTGGAATCTTTATGAAAGCAGATCGCCAGGCCTTTCTTCTGCAGTACTTCAAGGTGGGTCTGAACTGACAACCTCTAGGTTAGCAGCCAAGGATAAACTGTTTGTGCCACCAGGGACCTTACAGACTGTGAAGGATCACCTAACTCAGCAGACATCTCCCGTGCCACCTCCAGAGACAGGCCCCGTGCCAGGGAGATGAGGACAGAGCACGTCTGCCACAGGCTGGGACCAGAGCCACGGCCCATCAGTAGAAACCGCTTCGCTAAAGCTTTCTCCCCAGACTTCTCTAAGCCCTTGCAGTCTCCAGGGACCCCAGCCGCACCCCGCCCGCCATCACTCACTGCCAGCGAAGTCGTTCTGCACCAGGCCGCGGTAGCGCTCGTAGTTGCATTTCCGCTCATCCGACTCCTGTTCTGGGGAGCTTTGGGAAGGCCAAGATCTTGAGATTAGAGGGAATGAGGAGACCCCACCCTAAGCCAGCAGGAGGGAGGGTCCTGGCTCAGGCTCCTGCGGGGGTCGGGGGGGACGACTCCTCCCTCCTCACACCTCCTTCCCAGGAAGATGACAGGCAAGCAAGGGCCTGGGGACAGAGGGGACGAGGAGCTGTGCTGGGCCTGACAGCCAGCTGACAGCCACCAGGGAGTCAGCTTACATGGTGGTGAGCAGCGGGGGGGTGTAGTCGGGGATGTGGTCCAGGTGGGCACGGACATCAAAGCGGTCGATCATGTTGTTGGTGTCCCCCTGCCAGGGCATCCTGGGAAGGGGGGCAGAGAAGGAGTTTTTTTAGGGTCTCCATGCCCCAAGACACAAAGTAGCTGCTCCCTGCCACCTCAGTCCACTCAGACCCCCAAGCCAGGGCCCCCACCCCACCTCCTTGTGACCAGTCCCTTACACTGTAGCCCCCCTGAACTCACATTCAGGCTCCTGACACCTGGAAAGGGCCAGTCATCTAGCCAGCCCCGGGGACACCAGGGCCCCATTTCTCAAAATCAGCAGCAGTAGGGAACTTGAACCAAGTCTCAGGGACCACTTGCTGAGCCCCAGTCACCCCAAGACATCTCTCTCTAGTAACCCACTCCTTGCTTCTCTGGGCCTCTGGCCCCAGCCCCACACCTTCCCATTGAAGGCCTCCAACTACTACAGGAGGAGCAGCCCAGGGCCTCCCTCCCAACCCCTGGCTGCTCGCCTTAGCCTCTGACGGTCACCTTCACATGCAAGCCAATCCTTCCCTGCCTGAGTTCCCCAGGTCTGCCCAGACCCCCAGGGTCTCTACTCCAGACTGCATAACGCCCTGCTCCCTTCCGCCCCCTAGCCCTCAGTCACAGCCATTACTCTGCCCCCCAAACAGTCTTACATGTTAACGGGGCTCTCAGCAGCCAGGGCAACTGCAGAATCCAGGTGTACCTTGCAGGCTCGCCCATGCACCTGCAGGAACTGGGCTGGGTCCTTCTTCTGCAAGGACAGAGAGTATGGGGGTCACCACCCATAGGCTCCAAACCCTATGGCCCTACAGCAAAGCCCCCCTCTGAGTTTAAGCAGGGCCATCCCTCGGAGGGGAACAACCCTGCACACGCGGGGCAGGGAGGGCAGCACTAACAGGGCCACCTGACCTCTGAGGACTGGGGAACCATTTCCTCCCACGGTGGTGGCAAGAGGCTCTGAGCTCTGCTCCAATCTCCCGCACCGCCACTACCAGGACTTTACTCCCAATAGCGTCACCCTCCCCCCAGCCAGGCCACTGGACCAGCCTACAGACACTGAGACTGAACAAGCACATGGAAGATGTTCACTGTCCCCAGGGACGTGCACAGCAAGACCACAACTGCTAGGACGGGACGGCCATAATCAAAAGGACAGACAATGACAGGCGTTGTTGAGGATGTAAGGAAATCAGGTACTCCGAAAAGTTAAAGACTCTCCGTTGTTGTTGTTAGTTGCCATCAAATTGATTTGACTCATGATGGCCCCATGTGTGCGAAGTAGAACTGCTCCGTAGGGTTTTCAGGGCCGTGACCTTTCAGAAGCAAATCGCCAGGCTGAGGTGCCCCTGGGTGGATTCAGACTGCCAGCCTTTAGGTTAGCAGTCCAGTGCTTAACCATTTGTGCCACCCAGGGGCTCTAGAAATTCCCTATGACCCAGCAATTCCACGCCTAGGTATATACTCCAAAAAACTGAAATCTGTGTTCAAACAAGTACTTGTACATGAATGTTCATAGCAGCAACTACTCACAACAGTCGAAAGGGAGAAACAACCCAAATGTCCATCAACGGATGAATGGATAAACAAAACGTGGTGTATTCATCCAATGAATGTTACTCAGTCAGAAAAAGAAATGAAGTTCTGCTACAATGTGGACGAACCTCGAAAGAAGCCAGTCACAAAAGGCCACACACTGTAAGATTCCATTTCTACGAAAGGTCCAGAACAGGCAGACTCAGAAACAGAAAGCAGATGAGTGGCTGCCTAGTGCTGGGGAGGTGGGAGGGGACGAGGAGGGACTGCTGATGGCTCTGGGGTTTCCTTCTGAAAATGTTCTAAAATTGATTGTGGTGATGGTTGTACAACCCTATGAATATACTAAAAACCACTGAAGTGTTCACTTTAAATGGGTAAACTATATGGAATGTGAGTTATTATCTCCATAAAACTACTAAAAAAAAAAAAAAAAGACACCATGATGGGCAAGCAGGTTCCAAGTCTGTGCCTGTGTGAGGGACACAATTTTAAGTCACTATAACAGCGTCTTGAAAAGGGTCAAATCTAGCAGCAGCAGATCCCAGGGCAGAGCTTAGTGAGTGCCACCCCCGAGAGACCCACCCGAGCTGCGGGAAGGGTAGCCGGTGTCATCCTTTCAATCCTGGCTGTGCACCTGTCAGCATCCACCCAGAATCCAGCCACATCTCACTGCCACCCCCACCGAGTCCAGCCAGCATTTTCTCTTACCTCCTCGCCAGGATCCCTGCTGCCACCCTTGCCGACTAGTCTATCCGCCACACAGCAACCAGAGGGATTCTGCTGCTAAAACCCATGAGGCCCACAGCTCCTCTGCTCAGAGACCACTTGATGAGTAAAGCCGACACTGTCCACAGCCCACCAGGCCCGGCTTACTCTGGTCTGTCCCCTGGGGGCCCCCACCTTCCACTCTGCTCCAGGCACGCCAGCAACACTCCAGGTGTATGTGGGCTTCCATTCGGGACCTCCAGACTTGCTATTCCTGGAGCTTATAACGTTCCCGTGTATGGCTGCTCCCCCGCTATCTCACACTGCCTTCTAGAAGCCTCCCTCCTGGACGCTATCTAAGCAGCCCTCCACCCTCTTTATACTCTATCGCCTCAACCCTGCTTCTTTCTCCACCCGATGTTACACTTCACGCTCATCCCACACTATAATGTAAATCCCATGGCGGGGGCGGGGGGGGGGCTCTGTTTTACTCACTGCAGTATCCCCAGTGCCTAGAGGGGTCCGACACACTACACAGTAGGCACTCAGGATACTGAGGGAGGGAAGGAGAGGAGGAATCCTCAGACAGATGAGGAGACTGAGCCCCTTCAGGAAAAATGTCAGCTCCAAGTTTTGAAGCTCTGCACTTCCTGGCTCTATCTCCACACCAGCCCGGCCCCAGCCAGCAGAGCGCAGGAGCATGACACTGTGTTAGGAGAGGGATGCTGCTACAGTGACCACAGCTCACGTACGGGGCAGCTGTCATCCTCAGTTCCCACCTGGAAAAATGGAGGGCGGACACGTCCCAGGCCCAGGGTCCGACAGGGGCAGCACTGCTGGACTCCAGCTCCCCCTCCTGCCCCTCACCCGCCTCCCTCAGTGCCTATCTCAGCCTCACAGCACATCCAGCTCCCCCAGCCCCGTGACAGCCACTGGCCAAGTCCAAGACCCAGATCCCATTGTGCTCCTGAGGCTGCTCCGGGCCACATGCCCAGGTCCTACAGCAGCCAAGTCTCGAGGAACACTGTTTGCCATCCTGACTTTTGCAGGTAAGGGGAAGCCATTGGAAGTGTTGGCACTGCAGACCGGAAAAAGCATTGAGCTGGGAGCAAGGACCCCAAGTCCAGGGCCTGGCTCTGTCAGGAGATTCTGGAAAAATCAATGCACTGCTGCTAGCTGCGGTTTCCACATCTCATAACTAGCTGTTCAATAAGAACAGCTCCCATCTTCTAGGCAGTTACTAAGAGCAAGCATTGAGGGGTTAGGCCCACTTGCCTAGGATCACACCAATAAGTAAGCAGAACTAGAATTTGAACCCAGATGGTTCTGAATCCAAAATCCACTCTTAACTACTGGCCTATCCTGCCTCTAGGATCAGATACAGTCAGAAAAGTTCATCAAGTCATCAACTGTTCATTCATTCATTCACCTGTTAGGCAGGCACCTACTGTACTGGGGACATGACGGTTACTGGCTCTCTCTCCTGGCTCTATCTCCACGCCAGCCCGGCCCCAGCCAGCAGAGCGCAGGAGCATGGTGCTGTGTGCGGAGCTGAGGGGGACGCTGCTACAGTGACCACGGCTCATGTATGGGGCAGCTGTCATCCTCAATTCCCACCTGGAGAAATGGAGGGTGGACACGTCCCAGGCGCAGGGTCTGACAGGGGCGGCGCTGCTGGACTCCAGCTCCCCATCCTGCCCCTTACCCGCCTCCCTCACTGCCTGTCTCGGCCTCACAGCACATCCAGCTGTCCTGAGACAACCCTGGCCCTGTCGTCATGGGACTCACAGTTTAGTGAAGGAGACAGACCCATCCCCCTACTCTAAGACAGTGACAACCTACTAGAGTAGGCACCGCTGAACTAGGAGAGCCCAGTATGACCCAGCCTGGGGGGACAGGGAGAACTTTCTGAAAGAACAGACGTCTGAGCTGACACGTGCTTACTTCTCAACTTCACATCATAGGGGATTCTATTTCTTTATCCAAACCAGTGATTAAAACAAGAAAGCTGACAGGGACAGGAGTGATGGCAGAACCAGGGTCAGCCAGGGAGTGAAGACTAGGGGAGAGAGCCAGGACCAGGGACAAAACAGGAATGGAGAAAGCAGCTCTGTATGGACGCACTCACTCAACCCGCCACACTCTGCCTTGGCTTCTTCAACACCCGTCCTACTGCCTCCTCTCTCCTCTCTCGGCCCCAGGATGAGGGAGAGAGCCACGTGAGCAGCCCCGCCCCCTCCTCAAAGCAGCCACCGGCCACTGCCCCACCATTTCCACAGCTGGGCAGCTCAGATCTCAATGCTGGTCACGTCCGCGCAGGGACAACGGTCGCTTGTACAGCCCTGCACCACGTAGCACCCCTTGGACACTCATTCTTTAAGCTCCCCCCGTCATCTGGTGAGGGGCCTGGCCGTCACCAGTGTCTAGAGAGGGAAATGAAGCTCCAGAAACTTCCCTGTTAACCAGGGGGAAACCTGGAGTCCCAGGCCTTCTGAGTGACCCAAATCCAGCCTTCGTTTCATACACCATTCATCAACCTGGGTGCAAATTCTAGCTCGACCCAGTGAGACTAACTTCAGTTAACAATAAGTGCTAGTATTTACCAAGCAGTAGTTACCCTGGGCAGGCCTACGCTAAGCAGTCCACGTGCCCAATTGCACCAAATCCCTCACGCTGTGCGGGAGGTACTCTTATGCTCCACCATTTGTGGCAGGCTACTGCTTATCACCGACGTCCATCCCCCCTTCTTTAATAATGACTGTTGTCATTAGTTGCTGTTGAGTCAGCTCCAACTCATGGCGACCTTATGGAAAACAGAACAAAACACTGTCTGGTCCTGCACCATCTTCATGCCTGTTGCTATGTTTAAGTCCATTGTTGTGGCCATCACGTCAATCCACCTCACCTAAGGCCTCCCTCACCTTCACCAACCCTCTACTTTAGCAAACATGTTTTTTTCTAGCAATTTGTCTTTCCTGATGACGTGACCAAAGTAAGTGAACCGAAGTCTCACATCCTTGCATTCTGATTTATTTTTTCTAAGACTGACTTGTTTGTTTTTCTGGCAGTCCACGGCATATTCAATCACCATTCAAATGCATCAATTCTTCTTCTATCCCGGGCACAAGGCCACCCAAAATGCAGTCTACGCCTCTTAGCCTTTTTTACAATTGTATGCGACCATGGGATATAAGTCTGGTCAGTGGGATGTAAGTGGAAGTGTCATATGAAAAAGTCTAAAAGCCCTCCTTTAACAGCAACTGGCTTGAGCCCCTCTACCCCTTTTCCTTCACTTCCTCCTCCTTGCTAGATGGAATGGAGACATGATAGCTGGCCCTTGAGCAGCCCCCTCAGACTTTGAGACAACGCTGAAAAGAGAAGCCGTGTATAGCTGAATCACAAAATAGAAGCAGCTTAGATCCCTGAGCAGAGGTGCTTGCCTCTGGGCTTTTACATGAAAAGGAAACAAACTTCTATTATCTTGTTTAAGCCACTGAGATTTAAGGTCTC